TATGGTAAAATTTTCTTTGTTTTTATTATTGTCTTTAACAAGTCTGTTATTTTCTTCCTGATGTTAGCCAGGTCAAAACATTAAGAATTGTGGATTTCAAGCGCAAAGACCCGAGTTCGATCCCCAGAACCAAAAAAAAATGAAAGAATTGTGGATTTCATTAGAACATAGCCTGATATTTAAATATTTCTAGCTAAATTAAATGAAGTATCTGTACCTTGAAGTTTGAATATAGTGATTGTCTAACTTTTCACTTAAAAGATTAAAATTTTTATCAGTCTTTAATTTTTTCCCCTTTCAAAACAGCAAGGTAAAAGATTATCATAATTCTGAATAATGCAGAACCATGTAGGAAATACTTTGTGTTCAGATTTATCTGACATTGATGTATAATATAGAATAAGTAAATTCATCTATTATGTTAAAACACACATAACAAATATTATAAATATAAAGATAAGGTGATAAAAATAACATGACAATATTTATATTGCAATTTTAAGTCAAATGTTCCTTTAAGTAGGGGTTATACTTTAATTATAATTATTTCATAAATATAAAGAAGAAATTTCCCTAGCGTAAACTTCCTGTAACCCAGCATTTTCTTGTAACTTATTTTAAAATACTGAAAGAGCTAAAATTAGTTTGCTTTACTGTTTGTTTTAATTAAAAAATTCAATTCTACCCACTAAAAAAGTCCCCCACAATCAAATAAAGTATATTGAAGATAATATAGACTTAAAAATTTATAATTATTCTTGATTAATAACTTGCAAATCTCATTACAGCTAGATTAGCAAAAGTTAAATGGTGCTATAGCCATCTGGAAATTAGCAAATTTATGCAAAAAATTACATAAGGCAAAGTTAATGCCTTACAATACATAGCCCAAAGTCTGCTCATGACTTTCCAAAGGCATTTGTAATAGTTAAAAATTTAAACAGTTTAGAAACTGACAGTAAAGTACATATAAATGCTCCTCTCTCTAGGCATCTGAAAGCAATTTGGATGATTTTATTTTGTGTGATTTAGGTTATGTAACGCAAAACTTACATTTCCACCACTGCATGAAACAAAACCTGTAAGACTTAATGTTTTGAGACAAAAATCTACCACTTGGCAAATGGAAATGTGAGGGACAGTTTGTCTGTGTTACCTTTGGCCTCCATTTGGAACTATCCATAGGTAATCCCCTGATAACAGCAGCTTTCTCTCACTGTGTCCTCTTCCTTTCTCCCAAATCCACCCATTTTCACTCCTATTTTTTACCACTAATTTTGATGCAGAGCAATAAATACTAACAATTTCAGTGCAATTTTTCATATTAATATTTTTCTAGTTACTAAAATGAAACTATTGTTTAAAATTGCTTTCATTTTCATGAATTCTAAGAGTTGCTAAAATGTTGAATCAGAAATGGTAGCTGTAAGATGCACTTATCACTTGCTAGTTAATGTGTTTCAGAACCATGAATCATTTTGTAGGTACCATTTGTTAATAAAGTTTGATCTATTGGGAACAAAGCGGAAGGAAAGAGATTCAGACATGAGGCCACCACCTTTGCTAGTGGGTGTTCACTGGAAATAGCCCTGGAGATTTTGTTTGAGCTGAAGAGAAAGGAAAACAGCCAGACTTATGAGAAGAGAGAGGCAAGGATTACACTTTTTTCCTTTTAGTAATATGTACAAGTCAACCGGGGATTTAGCTCAGTGGCACCTAGCCTGCTTCGCAAGTGCAAGGTCCTGAGGTCCACAGTTCAATCCCTGGTAAGGCAAAAAAAAAAGAAAAAGGCTCGGAGATCTAGCTTAGTGAACTTGCTTAGCATAGCATGCATAAGAACCTGAGTTCAACCCCTAGTGCCATAATAATATACACAAGTTAATTAAGGGCATTTAACCTAGCAGTAGGCACTGAAGACTTCAGGACTTTGTTTTCATCCCAAGGTTTATATGGGACTCTCTAAAACTGCATCGTTGGAACAGGATACCATAATCCTAAGCTTACTTAACTGGTGACTAAATAATCAACTATAGGGAGGACAATAGTAATGCTTCTATGTGTTGCTTATGTTCTGTTTTTGTTTTTGTTTTGCTTTTAAGCTACAGCATTCATGTATTTCCTAAGTATTCTATTATTTTGAAAAAGTCTCCTCTGCTCCAAATCAGCTGCAGTTTAGGAAATGATAAATGAAGCTTATCCATATGCTATGTCAAGGAGAATAATGATGCTTGGAATTGTCAACACCAATAATAATGAAAAATGTCTGTAGTCATCACCTCTATTTTTTCTATTTTCTTATTGTGTCCATTAGTATTTTCTGTAATCAATAGTGCCTATTTATGACTTTTTATTGGTATATGTTTGGAATGCATAATAAATATATTCATCATGGGGAATTGGTACTTATGCACAAATATCACATCTTGCTCCATCTTGCATCCCTTCCCCTCCCTTTCTTCCCGCCTCTTCCCCATTCCCAGATCCCCTTCCCATCTCGACAAGTTCTCTTCCCAAACTCAAAGTGATCTGATTTCAAGTAGCAGCACTTTATTGAAATCTAGTTAGATCACTAATTTCACAAGCCATTTGGTTGCTTTCTTCTCTGGAATTTTATGTTTTTTTCATGAAGTTCTTTTGATTTGCAGCTGTTTTCATTCTATATGTGTTTCTACTATTTATTGTTGCAACTCTAGAATTAATACTTCTAGAACTATGTGCATGTTTTGCAGAAGAATCCTTTTAATTCAACATTGTTGGGATACACAAATCATTGGTCAAATAAAAAGTTAATATGGATATTAAAGAGTCTGTGAAAAGATAAATCAATTGCATATTTTATTTTATCTAAATATATGTAGCTATATTCTCAATTACCAATTTTCTCATAGCAACACAGGAACATTTTTAAAAATAAGCATCTATAATTTAAATTGCAATTATTACAGTATATTTTCTTTGTATATAACCCATGATAGTTTCCTATCATTCCAAATTCTTTGAAATTAAGTAAGAATTAAAGACATCTAAATTGCAATTATTACAGTGTATCCTCTTTGTACATAATCCATAATACATACTTTCTGCTACCATTCTAAATTATTTGAAATTAAATAAGAATTAAAGACATCTATTAAACAAGAAACATTTTTAAAGTTCTTATCTATTTTTATATTATAATTATATTAATTTTGTCTTCCTTTAAATAGTTTCTTTAATCATTTTCCTATCTTCAAAGTATCCTTCCACACCTAAGTCACAGGAATCTTTAGTAAGTTTGGCCAGAGCATTCAAATTGCCTTTCTTTTTGCACAAACAACTTTTATTGCCCCTTTATTGAGACCAAGTCATATTAATTCAAAACAAGCATAAAACATTTGGACGAGACACTTAGGTAACCATGAAATTAAAATACTGGAAACAAAATTATTAGACAGTTTACAGAATGGCTTACAAACTAAAATAGCTTATTTTACTATAGAAATAATTCACTATATTTTATCAAAGATATAAAAAGTATTTAGTAACCCAGGAGATCTATTAAATAAAAGATTAATGAAAGACATCTTCTATTCATTCCAATGGTTTCTTCAATTGAAATTATTGGTTTATATAAAAAACAGTCCAAATATATCAATGTGGAATAATGCAGTACACATCAAGAAGCTATCAAATAGGCATAAAGTACTTCCTGTTTCTATTTCTATGTCTCATGAAAATGAACAGACTGGTAAAACTGGCCTATGTCATTAAAATATTCCATATTTATTTTATATTTAAATATCCTTTTTGTTTGACAAAACTTAAATATAAATGTTGGTAATCAACTAGAAACAAATCCAGGATTCTCTGATGACTCTTAACATGAGTAACCTGTTTTGGAAAAAAAAAGGTAAATTTTATCAAATCATGGGGAAAAGAACATTAAAAATATATTTATTTGGAATTATTTTATCATCCTATTTATAATATTGGTGAGGATGATTTAAATTAATGTAGATAATATAAGGTACTTATTTTCAATTTATACCCTATAAAGCCATCTTATAAAATATATTATTTTAGAAAATCCAAACTGCATTGAATCACAGTTCATTTTTAGTTATGGGAAACTTTTTCTACTACATCAAACAAAAAGAATAATATAACATTTCTGTTGTTTCTTTTTAGGCTATGTATTTTATTTGCTTTATTTAAGTCTTTAAATATTAAGTATTCTAAGTAATCTACGCTCTGGCACTTTATTTTGCAAAGCTGTATATATTATTTTGTTCATCTGAAACTTCACAAAATAATTTTCTGACTTTGTGAGGATTTACAAATGTAAATACAAAAAGAATTATACTTTATTAAGAATTATACTGTATTTGTTTATTATACTTTATTGTATTTTAGTAGATTTTAATGTTTTATTTTGAGTTGATGTAAAATAATTGAATAGCTTGTAGGTTACATTTTATATTTTGAAACCTTTATACGTTGTGTACTGATCGAGATTTAGTGATTGGCTATAGGTCATTAGTTAAAGGCTAACTTGCAAGTAAAAACTAATTTGCAGAATAATTTCATACAAATGATTTTCCATTTTAAAAATATTTTCAAAAAGTAAAAGGAATTCAAGTCTTTCAATCCTATTTTCCCTACAAACATTTCACTTTTGAAATTTTCCTTCATTTTATTAGTAAAGAATCTAACTAGAAAATTAAGAAAACAAAAGGATCCAAAACTATATAGCTTATTGTGATAGAATTAAGATCGCTGTTCAGGTTTTCTGATATCCCTTTCAATTTGCACTAGAAAGATAGTATATTCAGCTTTCTTTCATAATACTTTCTATTTCACTAACATTGAGAAATCTCTATTCCAATGAGTTATTTATTCAATGAATGTCTTCATTGCATGGAATTCATTTGGAAACTACATTGATTTATAATAGACATTTTATTTTATACAAAAATAACTTGCTCAACTTTTAATATCTAATTTCTCTTCTGTGTTGTCAGGCTTCTGCTTAATTTGCTGATGAAATAGCAACTTTGTCCATGTTGGGATCTCTACTTACACACTTGGTTTCCTTTGAAAATTAAAACCCTGACCTAGAAAACAAGCACACTGTTCAGGGACACCATCTTGTAAGTTTGGTTGTTAACCACCCGCTGCTCTCAATAAATCAGTCTGTGAACTACTGATCCATGTCACAGCAGTCCACCTGTCTATCTGTTGGAAACATGTGCCTACAAACCGAACATTGCTCCTTGCAGTTTGTTCAGTTAAAGATACTCTACTTTCGTTAACTGTAATTTATGTTTATAGATATATAAAGCAAAGTAAGTATCAGTAAATGTGATCTCATGCTTATGGCTTGAGACTAGTAATAGGTGGTAGAGTACTGTTAAATTTTGCAATTGCTAAAGAAGTTGCTTATCATTCATTTCTTAAACCATGTTACTCACTATAGCTGCAGTGGCAGACTTTTACTATAATCAATACATTTTAAGATAACTTTGATAGTTTCATAGGATATATTTGCTTTGTGTTCATCCTCAAATGTTCTTGAGTAGTTTAGGTAATGACTTTGTCTTATGAGGACCTTGATTTATGAATTAAATTAAAATAAATTTATAAATATAATGTGAATGCATCAAGGAAGCCGCCTAAATCAAAGAAAAATCTATACTAAGTCTTGTTTGGTTAGTATTTCTATTACAAATCTGAGAAGACAAGCCTCATAAGTATCAATGATGTATACATCAGATGAGTATAGATAAGAATTTGTCCTTATCCCTCATTCTAATTTACAAGACAATTTTGTAATATAAGAGATTATTGGCAAGAATCCTCTAAAATAATAGATTACTTCTGGAGAAATAGAGCCGAAAAATAAACAGATAGTTCTAATTGTTTCAAATTCTCAAAGAGAATAGGACAAAGAAAAATAGGAGTGATACAATGTGTTAATTTCTGATGGTAAAAAACAGCCTATATTTGGTCAGCCAATAAGAAGCCTTAAATTGTGATATCATTTGAAGGATCTTCTTCTGAGGGATTCACATTTGATCTCTCTTGAAAACTAAGGAAAAAGAGAATTGAAATGTGGTTGTATTCTTGTGCTCCAAAAATTTACCTGGGAAAACAAGGACTACAAAACTGGTGAAAAGCAAAAGTCTAATTTTCTTTTGTTTTTACATTCTACCAGGATCAAAACTTCCCAGGAATGATCCTACCTGAATGTAAGTTACTATCCCTGTTGTAAAATAGAATTTTAAAATTCTAGTATGTTGCTATTTCTGGTTAACACTTTCTTGTCTGTCAGTGAGGGGTCAAAGAAGCACTTACAATCATGCAACTAAGGAAGTGTTTCAGAATGGAATTAGAAGCACATGTTTTAGTCTAAACATTAAGAGCCAATTAGAGTTAAGTAATTTTATAGTTAAGTGAGTTGAGCACATTTTACAGTTTCCATTTAATCAATTAAAATAGCCCTGACTCTTCAATTCTTCAGATGAGGAAAACCTTAGATAGAGAAACTGAACAGTTCTTGGACAATGGCTAATAACTGAGGAAGGAGGGCTCGAACCCAGGCCAGTCACTTTGCAGAACTTCAGCACTTAAAATTACTACTACACATGTTTTCCAAAGATATTGATCAAGAACTTCAATATGTCCCTAGCCCTTAGGAAGTCTACTATACTTTTCCGCATGATTCTGTATCTTATTTACATAGATTATGGCAATTTACATCTAAATCTATAGATGTATTTATTTTTTTCTGTTTAAAGTATACTTTATATACTTAAAAATCTATACTACATTTATTTTATTTTATTTCTGATCATAGTTTTCTGAATAAATACTTGAACAAATGAACCTCCAAGAGCCTGTGTTTGTGCATTTGTTTGAAGGTAGTAATAAAAAATTCAAATTTGTTAGAATAAGATATTTTCAGGTATTGTATTTGAGCAGAAACTTTTCCAAAGCTAAATTATGAAGTTTTGGAGAAATAGTTATTCATCAGCAAATGGGAGCTAGGTAATATAAACAAAGAAATAGTACTATTTTAAGTTCCTGAAAAAAAATTCTGTGAATACACTAGTAATCCAAGACTATTTCAAGACTCAACTTTAGAGTTAACGAAAAGATCTTGAGAAAATTTGAGAAATTATTACAAGAATTATTAGGAGGTGGGGTCGAGGGTGGGACCATTCGTCTACTGCAACCTTTATGAAAATAAAATTAAAGAAAATATGCTGAATATTAAGCTTGTAAACAATACAATTATAAGAATATAAAGCAAATTAAAAAAATGTCAAATTTAAAGCAAGATGTAAATAAAATGAATTATTTTGAGAATTGGCTTTTCATATCAAAATTAAATACATGAAGTTTAATCATAAAATTGAATTTTTGTTTATGTAAAATTATCGATATATGTATATATTTTTAATTTTTTATTTGTACATGTTTGCATTTCATGTACTTTACAATTGTCTTGAATAATTATCATACAGTATTTAGAAATTACACTGTTATGGCTTCTGTTTAGATGTGCCCCCAAAGCCTCATGTAATCACAGGTGGGGCTTTTTCTGGAATTGATTCCTCTTGCAAGGCTAGACTCAAGGGCACTAGGATTAAGGGTGTGAGTGCTACCTGCCCTAAGTAATCTGCATAAAATGAAAGGGGCTGAAAGACTGTTGAAGGCCCCTCCCCTGCCTGCTCCCTTGTTGCCTTTGCTAGTGCTTGGGCTCCATGAACTATTTCTCCTCTGCAGTGCCCCTGTGCCTTGGAGCCAGTTGATTATGGATTGAAACCTCTACAAACTGTGAGCTAAATAAACTGTGTCCCCTTTCACCTTGGCTGTCGGTATTTGTCTCAGCAACCAGAAAAGTAACTGAGACAATCACATACTATGCTTTTTTCATGCAATAATCATTACAACTTTACTAAGCATGGAGTACACTGAAACATCACTGAGTCTTGTTCTACAAATAGAAAAATGCGAAAACGTCCTTTAAGGATACATGATAACCTACTGTTATCAGTAGTGTCTAAGGACAAAAGTATATAAAATTGGCAAAAATTATAGCTGAGTACTTTTAGGATACATGAGAGATTATCTAATTCTTGAGATTAGTTATTGAAGAGGTAAGGACTCTAAAGATTCTTGAAATCACAACTTCTCGTACTTGAAAAAGTCATTACTTCAGTGTAAACCGCCAGAATACTCAATTATTGAAAAATTGTAAAGGTAATTAGGGCATAAAAAAATGCTCACAAATTCAATGATCAATCTGACTGTCAATTACGTACATACTACAGTGCTAGATTTTGGTTTAGTGTCAGGAAAAGGCAACCAAACAAAACAGAAATGAACAAACCAACAAACTAAAAACCCCAATGACTGACTCCATTACAAATCCCAGACACACCAAATATCTTCACACCACAAGGTGGCCCTGAACAGGTGAGGATTAGTAACTCTCAGTCCATAATGAAGACAAAATACTAAAGAATTGACTTAAAATAACTTAAAACATGAAATACATAAAGTAAATCCTATTTGAATCATTAACCTACTTTCAAGCAAACTGGACACTGAAATATGTGTATGTTGACAAAAAAATTTTAGAGCAGAAAGAAACATAGACAAAATCTATTTTGCTGCTTCTCCAATATATTAAAATACACCATATATGCTTCGCTTGCCTACGTTAAGCAACTAGGGAAAAGAATGCTTCTATTAGTTTATACATGGTGTGCTTATGGTGTGAATGAGTTAATGTCCCTCTTTAACTTGAAGATAATAAATGGCCTGAGTAAATATCCCATAGCACTATCCTCAAATCACCAGGGCAACATTCTGCTTCAGTGGCTTAAATGTGCCCTGGTGGTTTGAAACATAATTGCACTTCTCTGACACCTAATTGACTAAAAGGGACTGACTTAGGTACTTGGAATAAAATTTCATTATTGTAATTATTGTTCATTGAGGTATTCTAGTGTTTTAAAACAAACTGTTCATGTGGAATCTCATTTTTGGACTAAAATGAAAAAAATGCCATCTAAAGTTGTATAGAAAATCCCAACTTTACAGTACAGTAAGTTAAAAATAGGGGCGAATTTTCAGTAAAAGAATTATTTGTTTTTAGGGCATATCTAGTAATTTCTAATGTGAATCTTCAATGTCCAACAACAAAAGAGAATATTTGGACAAGAGAAAATAAAAAAATAAATAAAGGACAAATGTGAGGAAATGGGAGTAATGAGGATGAAAATGATCAAAGTTGGGCTGGGGTTTTACCTCAGTGGTTCTGCCACCTGCCTCGCAAGTGCAAGGACCCGAGTTTGATCCCTGGTACCAAAAAAAAAAGCAAATGATCAAAGTATGTAATGTGCATGTACAAATCTGCCAAAATGAAAACCATTACTAAAAAAGCCTGTAAAATAAAAATAAATATATTAGGGTGTTAAGATATAATGAGGATAAAGTATTGAATAATAGTACATGAAAAAACAAACAGCTACAATATATGGAGAATTCAAATATGCCCATACTGAGCTCTTCATTATAGGATCCCATATTTCCCCAAGGTAGCTATTAGTGTGCTAGTTTTAGAGATAAGAATCTGAGGAAAAGAATATTTAAGCAAATTATCCAAGCCTTCACAGCTACAAAAGCAGATTCACAGCAAGGTTGTTTTGCTCTGGTGGATTTATCCATTGCACTATTGAAACTAAGACCAAAATAGTCTTAATTTCAACCATAACATCACTTCCTGGTTAGTCTGTGATGCTGGCTGTTAAATGCTTTGTGTTTGTTTGTTGTGTTTTGTCTATTCTAATCCACAAGAGCCTTTGCTCCATGTTTTTACTTGGCCTATGAAGAGCAGAAGCACTTCCCTATGTTTTCTCTTAGTTTATTGGGCACGTAGTTTGTTCCATGGCTCTGTTTTAATAGTGCCATAAAGCGGTTGATTTAAATAACTAAAATTTATCACAGTTCTGGAAGCTGTATACCCAAGGTATCAAGGGGGTTAGCTCCTTCTTCAGACTGTGTGGAAGAATCGTGTCCATGTCTACCCCTTGGCTTCTGCTGGTTTGCTGGCAATCTTTGCTGCTCCTTGGCATGTAAGCCTCACCCCAATCTTCTTTTGCTAAGTGCCAGTTACTTTAACTTGATT